CTCCCACTCTGAAAACTACTTCAAATAAAACTCAGCCTCCCTTTCTCAGCCTCTGTGGAGGTTCTGAGTGCCCTGCTGTAGTTGGGCTGCACATTTTATCACATATAAACGGGCAGCTTGCTAGCCTCACATGCTGACATGCTCAGTCCATATTCTGTCGGCTTTGGCTTTACTTTGTAGTCTCGTGTAAGGTTGGAAATGGGGATGATGATGGTCATGATCCCTACTGACTGCTGCTGTGTGCTGTGTTGAAGGCTGTCATTAATCTATTCACAGTGCTGTGTGTGGTGTGGTTAGGCTGTCTCCCATTTGCTCTTTCTTCCTTTGTTTTCCCCTCTTCCTTGTTATTTTCAGGAATTGACTTCAGGGCTATGCAGATGCTATTCTTTATGCAGTTGTTTCTACCATTGAGTGGGCTAGCCTGGTACCTCTGATTAGGCAACTGGCCAGTGTCACAGCTGTAGGAGCAACGTGTGTGGCTTGAGTGTGGCCTGAAAAGCTTTAGTGTGTGCAGGTTCCACGGTGACTGGCTTCTCAGACTTGGCTGACTAGGAGTGTAGGCTTCTCTGTTTGAGGTTCCTCTTTTCAGATTATTCTAACCGTGTCAAGTTGATATAAAATCACAATCCCTTTCCCTACAGTTGTGATAAAAGGTTGTGAAATGTTCTCTGAGGGTTTAACTAACCTCTGGTTGAGCTGCACTGCAACCCCTGCTCCTAAATTCCAAGTTTTTCCTGTCTTTTTTCTTTGCTTTTCTTTTTTTGAGACAGGTTCTTGGCATGAAGCCTGGGTATTCTGGAACGTGGTTCTGCTGTGAACTTCTTGCCTGTCCCTCTCAGGTGCCAGGTTTCCAGCATGCCCCACCCTTAAGGAGAGATATAAGAATCCAGAGAGGAGAGTGGTTGCTAGCAGCGGGAAATCAAGCAGTGCGCATCCTGGGCGTTCTGATAAAGACCATAGTTACATTGTTGTAACTATGAGGACAGAGCCACTTGTTACCGTTTTGTTGTCTTTTGAGACAGCTTGTTCTGTTGTTAAGCTGGCCTGGAGCTCACTCTGATAACTCAAACTCTCAGTCTTTGAGCCTCTGGAATGTGGGGACCCTCTTGTGCCAGCATGCCCATCTTCCCAGCTTTTCTGTGCTGCTGTCTGTCTGGCGGGTGCTCTCTGTGTCCAGGAGCGTAGTCACCAGCACAGGTGACTGGAGACTGTAAGGCATTCATTGCCACTTTCTCGGTCGTGCCACCACTTTTCACGTCCCTGGCAGCAGCACCTGATGTTCTTGCTGAGGAGCCGAGCATGGCGCTGCAAGCCTGTGATCCCAGGGTGTGGCTGGCGAAGGCAGGGAGAGCAGGGCAGCATTAGAAGATCTCCGACTCGGAAAAGAGCTCAGGCTGACAGCCAGCTGCAGCCGTTAGGAAGATGTGTTGGAATTAAAATTACCCTTTTGCACCTTCGTGCTCACTGGAGCAATGTAGGACAAGTGTTTTTGCTTTTGGATCTCTGAGATTTTATAAGCTTGACCTGGTATAGCATGAGGCAACTTCAGATATTGGAAACACTCATCTTGTTTACTTGAACTTTTCCAAGTAAACATTCCAAGGTTTCTGCAGAGCCTATATGATGCCACTGGAAACCTTGATTTATTTGGTTTAAAGTTAAGGCAAGGGAACCCGTGTTGAAACATGATTAGAAATTGGAACAGAATCAGTGTTGTAGATTTTCTTGTGAAGGAGTTACATTAGAGATGGAAAAATTGCTGAGAATGTTTGCAAAAGAAAAATATTAAGGGATGGTGTTGGCACCACAAGGTGTGTTTAAAAGATGTTGTCGGTGAGATGGGAAGTCAAGGCGGCTGTGGAGCTGCTGTGCAGAATTCTTTGCTGCTAATCCCACCCACGAGAATAAAGACCATGACCCAAATTCCTTGGCCAAATTAAGCAAGATTTATTTTCTGCCAGATAGGGCTATCTCCCTAACGTGGGGTTTGAAAATCAGAATTGAACACAGAAGGCTAAAGTTTATATAGTCCCCAAAATAGGAGGGGTTTTTCAAGGGATGGAGGATTTCCAGAGGTTTGGTTATGTAGGAACTTGGTGGAATATTTTAAAATTACTTGGCAGATCTTAATCAGGGTACATTCAAGGTATGAGTCAACTCCACAGGGTGGGAAGCATGGCAAACTCCAGAAACAGGCTAAGGCATGGACAACCTGAATCTTGCAGCAAATAATAATGAACTTGTTCTGACCTTATAATAGAATGGCTCCCATCTGTAAGATGGAGTTACTGGTCAGTCAGCAGCAGTAATGTAAACTGTGTCAGCCAATTTACACACAATTGAACACTGCCGTTTTTATTTTGAGATTGAAGAAATGCTTGAAAATGCTGAGCGGGAGCGGCTGGGGAATTCTCTACAGCCAGAGAAGCCTCTCATCCGACTACGGGTAGGTCCTTGTGCTAATTAAACCGTACCAGTTTTCATAGAAACACAGACTTCACATACTTCTCTGAAAAGTAGTAAGTTAAATGCTTAGCGTAGAGTCGGCACCAACAGAGGCAGAAGTGGAAAAGCCTGAGGCTCGATCTCATCTCAGGTGAGTTTGGTAGGTTTGCTACTTTATTCATAGTTGCTGTCATTTCCTAAAGGATCTTTCTGATCTGTCCTTGCTTGGCTCCCTTGCTCCACTCTGGGCACCCATCCACAAACTTCTGGCTAAAGCAAAGAACCTTGGAAGTCCCACCTTGTTTTCAAATAGTACCCATGCTGTGCACCTAGGCTGTCACAGGAGATGGAGAACATTCCAGCGTCTGGGATGGCATTGCTCTGTTCTCTTGAACAGGAAGTGTGTTTGTGTAAACCTCACCTTCTGGTGTTAGTCTGTCAGTAGGACAAACGGTTTACCATCATCATGATCATTAAACATAGAATATGAGTTTGCAAATGTCAAAGCATTGAGCTTTTAGATTGATATAAATACTTTAGAAGCCAAAAAAAAAAAAAAACCCTGTATTTCTCAAAAATTGGCACTGTTTCCTGTCTTTCCAGGTGGACTACAGTGGAGGCTTTGAACCTTTCAATGTTCTTCGCTTTAGCCAGAAGTTCGTGGATCGGGTTGCTAACCCCAAAGATGTTATCCACTTTTTCAGGCACAGGGAACAAAAGGGAAAGACAGGTAAGCTGGTTACTTAAAGTTAAAGAATGCTTAGCGGGATTTGTGTAAATCAGTCTTTGGTAAAATAAATGAACATAGTAGTAGACATTTTAGTATTTGTAATGTTAGACAAAAAAGGTTAAGGGAATATTTTATCTTCTCAAAATGAGCATTTGGGGTATTTTCTGATTATTTGTTTCATTTCCTTCTGGAGACAAGGTCTTACTCTGTAGCCCAGTGTGGCTTCACACTCTAGATCCTTCCCCAGCGTCCTGAGTGCTGGGTCTTCAGGCTTGCACTGTCTACCCAGCTGTGTTCAGTCTGTAAAGCAGTGGGGATGAATGAGGGCTGGGAGGAAGGCTTTGTTTGCAAACACAGCCTTTCACACTGTGGTGCTAGCCACAGCACTCACAGGCGCCAGGCATCTGCCGATCCCAGCACATCTTTCCTGCCATGGGTTGACAGAACATGCTTTCAACTTTTGCAGCTTTAAGTATTTTGACTTAGTGCATGCAGTGCTTCAGGAAGACCAGACTTGAAGTCAAAAGTGTCCTGTAGGGCTGGGGAGATGGCTCAGTGGTTAGGAGCATTGCCTGCTCTTCCAAAGGTCCTGAGTTCAATTCCCAGCAACCACATGGTGGCTCACAACCATCTGTAATGCGGTTTGGTGCCCTCTTCTGGCCTGAAGACATACACACGGGCAGAATATTGTATGCATAATAAATAAATATTTAAAAAAAAAGTGTCCTGTAGTTTGATGATTGAGTAGTTCATTTCCAGTTAAATTTTATAGACACTTAGTGTCCTGTTAACTATAAAAACAGAATCAACTAAATAATGCTATTTCATAAGAAATATCAGTTGTGCTCTTTATAGAAGCTCCACCCTTTATAACTAGTAAGATTTCCAGCAGCTAAAGAAAATAAGAATGATGGATTGGGAGAGATGACTCGGCGGTTAAGAGCACTTGCTGTTGTTCTAGAGGACACAGGTTCAATTCCCAGCACCCACATGGTGACTCACAGTTGTCTATAACTGCAGTTCCAGGAGATCCAGTGTCCTCATCTGGCCTCCAAGCACTGCTAATACATGGTACATAGTATAAATTCACACAAATGTTCATACACATTGAGAAAAAAAAATCAGCAAAATTTTTTTAAAAAGTAATTTATAAATGCTGTGACTTCAGCCTGAAGCCATCTTTCAGATACTGACATGTGGGCCATATCATGCTGCTGTAGGGCTCGGAAAGGCACGGGCAAGAGCTGGGTTCTGGATGTGAATTTTCATCTGTCACTTACTGATTCCTTGACAACCTCACCCTGTTTGAGTTTTATCCCCAGTAGAATGGCCTGGGAATACTTTTTAATTTAAATTTGAGTTGTTTGGTAGATATGATGCCACTTGGATATGTCTTAACTGAAAATCTCTTATTTTGGCCATTTATTACGTATGTGACACTGTATAAATTAATAATTCTCCGCTTTTGAGACTGCTCCTTTCCAAAGCTGGGGTTGTTCTGTAATGGCCTTCACACAGGGTCTGGCCAGTGCAGAGCAGTCATGGTAATTAAGGGTAGCGTTAGTATCCTTGGAGCTCACAGAGGTTTTTGTGTCTCTACCATCAGTGGCACTGCTGTATTTCTTTTTTTTTTATTGTATTATTTATTTTATTATTATTATTATTATTTTTT